CTTCAAAGAGCATGTGCCAAACTAAGCACTCAATTTGTAGATTATCGTTCGGACACAGGATCTTGGGTGTTTAATGTTGAACATTTCTCAAAGTATGCTCTTGTAGATTCTGATGATGATGAAGAAAATATTGTGGAACATAGTATTGAATCTAAAACTCTTCCTAAATCAATTTTACAAAAACCTAAAACTATAAAATCAACAGAAAACGTTAGCCCAAAGCAAAATGTATGTATAACTTATCTTTGTAGTTTCCTCTTAAAGTGTAATTATTATATATTTATTGTGTATTCATATTCTACTTAAACATATTTAAATAGGTTATGAAACCATTGCTAGATCTTTCTGTTGGTCTTGATAGAGCTCAATTACCACATCAGTATTTATTAAAACCAAACTTTCAAGTCTCTGCTGTTAATGAACCAACTAATGATTCACACATGCATTATTATGGTATAAATTAATTCTAAAAAAAAGCTATTTTTTATATTTAAGATGATTTTTAATTGAAATTTATCCAAATTTTTTTAGACACCAATAAAGAAAATAGCATTAATGTAACTGCTCAGCTATCTCAACAAATGAATTTAAAGGCGTCAAAGATACAATGCATGAAAGCTTCATTTGATGATATTTTTTATAATGAGTTAGAATTGATGGATCAAGATGATGATACATATGGTATAATTATATATAATTATTAACAATGATACAATTTATTAATGAATGAGTCTTGCAGGGCAAAAAGATAAATTTGAAGACAAATTGGAGAAAATTTTGGAAACAATTCCTGAATGTTTAATTAGCCCTAAAACTCAAGATAGTATTTCCAAATCAAAGTCAGTAATAACACCAGTAGATAATCAAGCGTCTCCAAAGTTTATCATCACAAAACAAAGTAATCAATTTAAGGGATTTGGTTGGATTTTTGTGTTTAAATAATAATTTTTCAACTTTTGATGTTACATAATTGAAGAGTACAGTCTATAATTTATTTAAGTTTTTCGATATGTTTTGTGCCTGCAACGGGTCTTATAAATCAAACCATAATTTCATGTAAATCACGTGAAATAGGGAACCCACTAATTAATAAAAAAATTATTATTTTAAAATTTGAAAGTTGAGCAATCAACATATGTATAAAATAAGTTACTATATTATTTGTTAATTATATTCTTAACTTACTCTAGTAGTTTTTTTTATTAATTACTTTGTTAATTATTTTTAGAAAATAAAGTTGTTCAAGCTGTAGAATTAATAAAACCAGTTTTAACTGCTCCAGTAAGTATATATACATTTGTTCCATACCGTTTTAGTTTGATTTATTAATTATTTATGATCCTTATCCTTTTTAAATTTATATTTTTAATCAATGCCTTCTGTATATAATTTATTACTTAATCTAACTAATATTTACTCAAATACTTATGCTTTAAGTTTCACTGTTTATTGTTTCTTGAATAATTAATAATCAATTACTTAACTTTTCTGATACATAATGTATTACATATTTTATTCTTTTTTAACAGCTTCAAGCTCAACGGTTCAATTTGCTATACAATTCTAATGTTCGGTTACCATTTGAAGTAGAACTTGTTAATACATGCGAGTCTAGTAAACTAGCATTGTCGAATAACTTATCAACAAAAGTTCCTTGGTCAGGCAATTTAACATTTATTACACTTAATACCAAATCTAAAGGAAGTTCCTTACCAAAAAAAGGACTGGATATTAGTTATTTATCAACAGAGTTGTCTGGGCGTTCAAAAAATGACTCTTCTTCTACAATTGTACAGAAGTTACAAATTATTACCCCTGTTCAAACGGAGACATTCATTGTTAGTCATAATTCATATACTTACATAAATTCATGGCATGTATTGATTATGTAAATTGTTCTATTTTAGGAATTATTGAATGAACATTTAGAAATTTGTATGATGAATAGTAATTGTGATGCTAAAAATGGCAACATTCCATACTTTTATCCAACATTTGGAGTTGATGCATTACATTCTCATTGTTATTTGCTGTCTCACTTCTCTGAACTGCCCGAAGAAGAACATTATGCTCATGTATGGGAGCTGATTAAAGCATTATGGGGAGATCCAGAAAATCTGTATACCAAAGACTGTCCTCAAGAACATGTGTACAACATGGCTAGACGCCAGGCAGTGTCTGATTGGCTAGAAAATATATTAGAAAAAACAGTAAATTCTAATAATAATGCTGATGAGAATGTCTCTCAGAGAATATTAAATCTAGTGTCAATTCATAAAATTATGGAAGCTTCTAATTTAGCAATTTCCAATAGTGTGTAACATTAATATTATTTAATTTCAAATAATACAATTTATTATTTGATAATAATATTTATTTAATTTCATCACTATTATTTTCTGTTTTAGATGAATTCATCTTGGCAATATTATTATCACAGTTAGGAAGTGAAAATTCTGTCAGATGTTGCATTCAACGACAACTTTTGCAATGGTTCAACAGCAAAGCTGATCTGTTCATGGATACTGATCACCTGAAATTGTATACCATGATTTCGGGTCAACCTTTATTTGATTCCAATCAAGGAATAATAAATGTGTGTGAAAATCTAAACTGGATCAGAGCTTTTGCCATACATATGTGGTATGTATCATTGGTGGCTTTTATTAACTTTCTCAGTATATGTTCTAAAATTCAATATTCAACAATAAACATTCAAAACTGAAAATTAAATTACTTCTATACAAATCTCTCTTAAAGCCAATTTGGACATATGGCGTACAGTTATGGGGCAATGCAAAAAATTTTAATCTAGATGAAATTCAAAGGTTCCAAAATATAGCATTAAGGAAAATCACCAATTCTCCACCATACGTATCAAATCTTTTCCTGAATAAAGACCTACATATGAAAACAATCCAAGAAGAGGCAAAAAATTATTATAAACGGTTCCACCTACGCCTTAACATTCATCCAAACGCGCTTTTAAAAATCTAGCCGTATTAACCATCCCTGTTAACCCTCCTCGGCGCCGTAAGCAAAATTGGTGCAGAGACCTACTAAACCCTTAATCCAAAACAATAAAAAGTATATATTGTATAACATAAAATAATTAAAAGACGAAATTGTCATCAGTGGGTGGCTTCTTCATTGAAGATTTTCTTCCTTTTGTATTATAGCCCATACTCTTATTGTGCCTTATTGTGTATTTTATTAATAAAGAAATAAAAAATTCAATATACAATTAAATTATAGGTACATACAACCTTCAACTGGTACTATTGGAGAAGTTTTAGAAGCATATCAAAATTCATTTGAAAGTGACGATTCTTATGCTTTAAAACCATATAAGACGTATGATGGCATTATTGATATTGATGATAAATTTGCTACTTATGACGTGTGTTACCATTTACTGAAACTTTACACCGATTCAGCATACCAAATGGACAAAATTATAAATCCCTTTACACATACACGGGATCCTATGGATTATAATTTTAGTTGGCTTTTGTACAACACATTACAATCCCTTGGCTATACACAAATGTCTGAAACATATGCCAATCAATTACATATAAATTTTGCTTCGCAGTTGGTGTCACACGGACAGTGGCAATGGGCCGTATTTGTTCTTATGCATATCAAAGACAAACTATTGTAATAAATCTAAGTTTTTAAGATTACTTTGTCCGTGGATGTAGATTAGTAACAATATATTGTTTTTCTAGGAGAGAAAGTTTAGTTGAAGAATTTATTGGAAGAAACGTTGAACTACCCATTTGCGATATCAATGAAATCAATCTTTCTGAGAAAGAAACCTTTGTAATAGAAAAGTTAAATGTTAAAGAAGTAATAATATTTAATGCAAAGGCTATTTTGGCTGTGTCACAAAAAAAGTATGATATTGTCAACAATTTTAATAGCTAAAATTGAATAATATTTCCAGTTCTCGTATAATTTATATTTATTGGTTTTAGGTATTTAGAAGCCGCAATTTGTTACCTAAAAGCTGAACAGTGGCAGGAAGCACACAATATACTTTCAAATCACTTATTTGCAAACTATTTGCTTCAAAAAAGTATTAATTATTTAAAATGTATTATTTTGTTCATAATTTTTATTATTATTTCTATTTTAGATGGACAAAAAACATTAAAACATTTGCTGAATTGGTTAATAGATGGTTCCAAGATAAATGGGTCAATACCCACAACTTTGCAGGATAGTTTAACTATTTTAGAATATTTAAATTTAAATGAAAATTTAAGTAAAATGTCTGTTGAAAAATCAATAACACACATTGCATCATTATGTGATCAAGTCTCGTGTTTGCCTGAAATCACAAACAAAGAAAGGTAATTTAACGTCATGTTTTCAAACTCACATAACCTTTCTGTTTTAAAAGTTCAAATATTTTTGATGATAATGTAATATCATCATTTTTTTTTTATAGAATGATAAAAACTGAACTATCTAGTTTTATAACTCGGCAAATTGGACAACTGATATCAAAAATTGAACCATCAAATCGTAAAATTTTAAAATTTTTAGTTCTACCTTTGAATAAGTTATCAATGACAGACGATTACACAACAGAAGAATTACTTAATACCTTATCCGAATATATTTAAATTTTTTTTTAGTATTTTTATCATTATTATATTTTTTTATAAGTCCATATATAATAATTTCAGTTCAATAAATTACAAATTTGTTGTATATACTCAATTATGTTAAAGGTTTTCTTTATTATTTTGAAGGTATAAAATAATACCACTTTTATATGTTATTTTATTAGCTATAATTAAATATAAGTATGAAAGAACTATGAACATAAAATAATTGTAATCATACATTTGGCAAATAATTTTAGAAATGTTAATAAACTGATTAATTTTGAAAAATAATAATAATTTGTTTAATAATTATTTAATGGTTAAATTAATTTTATAAAAAAAGAAGCATTTATTAGTGTTTCATATGGATAAATAAAATCTTTATTGTTTAGCTTTGGCTGCTTGTCGTCGTTTTACGTCCCAGTTGTACACCCTGGCCATATTAACTTCGGTTGTAGTGAACTGATCCCTGAAAATATTTACAAGCCGGTAATAAAAGAAAAATAAACATAATATATTAAATTGTTGTACTAGTTGAATTTAAAAGTATACCTTAGAAAGTCAAGATCATCATCAACTTGTCCCATATTATCTGTGGCCAATTGTATATTTCTTGAAATAAGTTCAGTGGCATCATCTAGATTATATTCCAACATGACATTAGCCTGTAATAAAAATAAAATACCAATAAATTAAACACCTTATGAATTTAGTTTATTGATAACAGTAATAATTAAATAGGTGAACAAAAAATAATTACACCAAGCCAAAGATACACATTATCAGTTCCTTGTATATGAGCTTTAGCATAAACATCATCGGATAATAAAAAGTCTGTCTTCAACTGTTGTCCTTTATGAGCTTTCATTGTTTGAATCATCTCCAGGGTATTTTCTAAATCTGGTAATTGTGATTGCAATCTATATTAATAAATCAAAGGCAAGATATTCATAATATATTTTATTTTAACTGACAAACAAACTTAAGAGGACATGCCTATTTTATATACTAACTTCGTCCACCCACAGTACATAATTCTACTAAGTTAAATCAAAATTGTGGTTAGGTTAATAAGAGAATTACCTAACTATTACCAAATTTTAAGAGCAGAAAATTGTTTAAATAAATATTGTTTTAAAAGAAAGTTGGAATAGTACACAAAATTTTAAAATGCTATAACTTCTTTGTTAAATAATGTTTTATTAAAAGGATAATATGAAATTACAAAAATATTCACTTGGCACTTCATCAAATTTAACAATAGGTGTTTAATTTGAATATAATATAGATGCCACAATTTTGATTTTACTAAAAATATAATAATGATAATGACAATTTATCGCAAATTTTAGAAAAAAATACATTTTATTTAGGAACAGATAAACAGGGCTCTAATTACGGCCTTTCAGGAGGTACTTAACCTAACCTTATTGTATAATATTATCAACTTAAAAATATGCAGTACTAGTAGGTACTTAGATAAAAATTTACCATTTTACCTAATAGATAATTACAATTTATAGATATTACAAAACAAAACTTGTTATTTTATATGAAATAAAGAAAAAATCAAACCACAATTAACTCTAAACCAGTGGCGGCTCGTCAAGAGAGGCAAGTAAGGCTCAGCCTCACCTAACTGTTGTAAAGAAAAAGGAGGTATATACTATAATTATAATTATTTCCAATCAACTTTAAGAATATTAGGTATATTCAATAATATATTATACATTTTATAATAGAAAAGCTTTTTGTTATTATATAATATTACCATGACAAAATGTATTTTGTCATGTATAATATTAACTTTCATAGTACATAATAATATTTATACATACTTCGACATTGTTATCAAAAATCACTACGATGTTAGTGGAACGATAGAACAATTTCGACGAAAACCGAAGAGTGCCGAAAGGCTAGTAATATTTAGCCTTAGTCGAGTCGGACGGCCGTACGAGTATAAAAATATATATCATGATAGTGGGGGAAATCGGAATATTATTATTCAATGAGGCTGACCGATTTGGGCCTCAGAGTTTGTCAACATTATCATTTTGTCATTTGTCAAAGCGATGTGATTTCCACTACTAGAAAAAGGAACGGAGGTGTTGTCATCATGTTGTGTAGTGTTGAATACCTACCCATAATACTTATATCACAAACTAGAGATATTATCGGTTCTTATCGAACAAATAACTATTTACATATTATTATTATTCAATTTTCAATTCTAAACTCTATAGAAGTTTTAAAGAGCCTACTTGTACTATAGTAGAACTATAGGAGTATTCAATTGATTAATAATTGATTGTTTATCTGCCTCGCCCCTCATACGGTTCACGAGCCGCCACTGCTCTAAACAATGTTATAGTGTATAGATTTACACAATGATGTCTTACTCAAATAGAAGAAGTGTCAATGAGCCAGAGATTTACAGGGTATAATGGTTAATGACACTAAAAATAAAAATACAGGAGTAATTTAAGTATAATGTTATGTATACACCAAGTTTCAAATTTAAAAAAATACCATGGGTTCACGGAAACCAATTGTTTTATTGCAAATTCTACTCTAAGATAACTAAAATGGATAAATACTTTAAGGGAGAACACCACGCATAAATCTCAGTTTATAAAATAAATAATCATTACATAGGTACTTTAGTCGGTAATGACAATCTTTAGAAATACCTTTTTTTTTTTTTTTTTGATTCATGTGTTTTTTATTCCATCTGTTACAGTAAGAACAATAAGAACAATTGATGTTTAGTAAAAGAATAAAATAAAAAGACAGACCGGACGGAGTGCAGAGGCCTCCCAGCGGAGGTACTACGACATGAGTATGATTTTAATTAGGCTAGCAGGTCACAACACCACTGTCTTTTAAGTCTTTTAATTGGGTTACCTGGGATGGAAGCAGATGATAGATCAGAGATTAAGGGATTCTTATGGTTGGCTAGGCGGCTATTGCAACTTTGTAGTGAGTTTTAGCTAGTTCAGAGACAAATGGTATTTTGCGATCAGAGTGGAGGGTGTGGTTAGAGACATAGACTGGTGCTTTAGAATTGTTCCCCTCTCAAATCGAAAAAATCTTTCACCTTTTTTAGAATACCTAATGGTAAAATATTTTTTTTTAACATTTTAATGTATAATAACAAAAAAATAATAAAAATGTTATTACAATTATGTTTTATACTTAACCTTTTTCTCTTAGTAATTAAATTATATTCAAAAAATTTATATTTGCTATGTTGCTCATCCAATCTTTTAAGTACATCTTCAACACTGCTATTTTCTGTTTTTTCCATAAACTTATCTACATCATCCTGCATAAAAAAATTATTGTTAATTTTAATAAAAATATTAAATGCATATTTAGATTAAACAGTTAAAATTGTTTAAAAAATATTCATAAAAAAAATTTTTATATTTACAAATCACTTATTAAATTGTCAACTAAAAAAATGTCATACCTGGCTCTGACACAACCTATAATTTCTTAAGAAAACTCATTGTGGGGTGGAACTTACCATACTCATCTTAAGAGTCTTGAAGTTACTTTGAATTAAATTAATTTTGAATATGCCTTTTTTCTATCCTACTTCTATTTTATAGAAAAAAACTCAAATATTCTAAACTTATATTCCTTATATTTTAAAAATATATGTTTATTTAATGTATAATGTGAAAGATGACACTTTGGTACCGAATATAACTACTGAACTCATCTTAAATCTAATTTGAATGTTAAAAACCATAAAATGATAACTGTTTTTGAAAACATAGCCCCAAATACACATTTATACAATTTTGCTTTAAGCATAACTTAAATTTCAGTATTTCATTATTTTAAATTTTATAAAAATGTATTATTAAACTAATTTTATTTTATTAAACTAGCATTTAGCACACTATTAGCTTCTCATTAATCTTAAGACGATTCTTTAGTTTCTACATTTTTAGTCAAGACAGCTAATTGTCTTAGTTTATAAATTTAGAATCTCCCTCCTCCAGCTTAGAAATTGTCTTTGGAGGTGATCTATCTATCTACTAATGTTTATATATAATATAATATATCTAAATTATAAATTGCAATAGATGGGAAAAAAATATACAATATATAATTATTAAACTGTAGCATTCACAAACCACAAAGACTGCTGATGGTATTCGAGGATTTGTTTCCTGTTTGCTACCTTCTTTTTCCATACTTAAAAGTGAAAAGTTACACAAAACTACAATTGTCCAGTTCTCGATTCACTATTCAGTATTCAATATTCATCTGCAGTCGGGTCGAAACTCGAAATTTCGAAAACTAAAAAAACTAATTTTCCAAATTGTCTAACCTTAAATCTGATAGTAAATTATTGCATGGAACATAGAGTACTCTATGGCATGGAAGCACGGCTATAGATAGTAGACCTATCAAGAAATTGTCTTAATAGGTCTATGATAGTGGATACTATCATTTTTTCAACAAACCACGAATTAAGATTTCTTAAGATTTCGTGCAACAAACCTTATTGTAAAACTGAAACAATATTATAAACTGTAATTTTAAAATACGGTAAATATTTTGTGCAAGCGAAGGATTCGTGAACAAAAAAAACTGTGAATCTCCCTGAAAAATGCTATACGATCAAAATTATTGTATTGTGTTGGTAGGGGGGGGAATAGGTGGTCACGAGTGTGAGACACAGAATAGATGAAATTTCATCTATTCTGTGTGTGAGATCTCCGTATTGTTCTGTGGTATTGTGTAACACGGTAAATCGGTGTCCTTTGAGTGGAACATTCCGCCTTGAAAAATTTTTATCACCGTGGAAAAGCTGGCTGTGAACATGCATAATATGTATACTATAAAATATTTTGTGTATTTTAAAATTACAGTTGATATTGTTTCAGTTTTATAATAAGGTTTTTTTGAAACAAAAAAAATTTGGTGTGTACACTCAAAATCGTTTTTTGCTCCTTACTCGAAAATATTTACCGTGTACATACCAATTTTTTTTTTCAACAAACCTTATCATTTTTTATTTTTATTTTTTTTTTTATTTTTTAAAAGAAATATACCATCTGTACCCAGAGACACAATAAGGATATGGGCTAATTTACAAAAAGGCGTGAATGAGTTGTTGGAAGAAGCCACCCAGTAGTGACACTTCCTATTGACTTTAGACCTTATCATAAAACTAAAACAAGTACTCGGTAACGCCGAATTTTAGATTTCAATTTTATATATTATTTAATTAATGTTGTTTTTTAGATTCTGAGTAGAGCGAGAAAGCTATTGGTTTTATAAGTGTTTATTTTATTTATTTATTTATTTTTTTTTTTTTTAACATCCTGTATACAAAATATCTGCAATAAGGAGTGCTTTGATTTCAATATATAGTACCTTATCTTTTAGCAAATTGAATCAAGATGGTACTTTAGAAAGGTCATTTTTCGATTTTCTCAATAGTTATTTAATGCCACAGGAAAAACCAACGACAAATTACGAAAAACCGCTAAAAATGGAATTTTAATTTCTAAAGCTTTGTTTATCACCATAGAAACGAATAAAAATGTTAATATTGTAATATTAATTCAACTTACAGGACATATTAAATAATAGCAATATAAAATATCCAGACTGACAAACCGTCTCCGCTCAGAATCGTTTTACTTATACAATGATATTATATTATTGAATTCAAGTTTAATACAATAGATTATACATTAACCCACTTGTAACTACTGTACAGCAGAGCGACATCCACTTACACTCTTTTTTTTTAATTTATTTGAACCTTTGAAATTCCATTATGTTGATCCATTCATTAAACAATCTGGCCTGTAACATAATAGTTACACTATATATATAATTTTATTGGAAAATGATTAAATTGATGTTGAATAGCCTTATTTCATACTATAGTTCAGAGTGTAAAAGCATCGAATTACCGTAAAAAAAATTTGAAAATTACACCTGGCAACATTCTATCGGATTGTCGAGGATATATAAAACTCTGTGACTTTGATTTGCAATGGCAGTATAGGATTGATGCAACTCTAAGCAGTAGAAATAATATTAGCTGGTTTTATTTGGCTGTATGTTTCGTTGGAAGTATTTATTTCAAAATAGTTTGTGGTGTAATTCTATTTAATTTTAGCCGGAACACATTGATGGAGGACCTGGTTATGATGTTAGTTCAGATGTTTGGTCCTTAGGTATCACATTAGTAGAAGTTGCTACTGGGCAATTACCATACCCGAGATGCAGTTCTCCTTTTGAATAACTCCGTCAGATTGTTGAAGAAGATCCACCACGATTGCAGGCTTCTGACAACTTTTCTCCTAATTTTGTGAATTTCGTAAATACTTGGTACATACATACAATTAAATTTTTTTCATACATTGAATTTCATAATATTAACTATTAAGCAATTAATAACATGTATAAAATATCTATTTGTAGTTTGATAAAAGCTGTAAACCAAAGGCCAAAAAAAAACGAATTACTAGAAAACTTATTCATAAAAGGAAGTGATGCTGAAAGTGTAGATTTAGCTTCTTATATTAGAGAAATAATGGCTGCAATGGAAAATTATGGCGTAGAGTCACCTTTGATTATGCAGGGGTCTTTGCCCTTGGGCACCCAGAGAGGTTAGGTTACCTTGGGTATTGTGTCATCTGTCATCAGTCATAATAAGCGTAGGTATTCAATAAAATATTAAAAATGTTTAGAACTTAGGATCATTTTAAAACCAACTTTTAATAATTGTATTATAGGTAGGTACGTAACAAAAATATATATATTTTTTTGATTGATCTTTAAAGTCCGGCGACTATGGCCATTAGCTGATTGTAGGTAGTAGGGTTTGTAATGGTAGGGTTTTTACACGTGTGTGTTGTGTTTGACAGAATTTTTGATTGGGCACCTGTAGGTATCTGATATGCCCGGGTGCGGGATGGCGGAAATTTTTCTCCGGACACCGTGACGTCCGAAGAAAAATGCCACCCGTGGCCAAGGAATCGAACTCGGGTCGGCTGCGTCGCAGCCGACGCCTTAGTCCGCTCGGCCCCTCCATCCCCCCAAAAAAATATTGTTCATTAAAATTCGACATTTTTAAAAAAAACTGATAATCACTTGCTTGTTGCGCTCTCTCGGATAATTTAAATCATAAAAATCCCTCAACTTGTTATGTAAAACCACTTTGGAAGGGCTTTGAACACCTCGGACCTCAAATAACTAAATTTTCAGAACTAAGTCCGACGGCCAAATTTTTACTTCACCATCGTTTCCAACATACTTAACTAAATACGTTAAACCAAACAAATTGAAAAAAGTGTGTCAGGTAAAAATAAATATACCTACCACTGATTTTACCCACGTTCTTAACTCGTTTAAATACGTACCCATTTGTATATGTTTAAAAAAAAAAATTAAAATTAAGAACATTCATTTTGAGGACTAAAAAAAGTCTTGCCATCAGTATGGACTATTATGGAGTATACAGAATACAAACCTTAAAATTAGCATCCCCATAAAAAAAATCCTAGATTCACTACTATGTATGAATATAGCCAATATAGGTAAGTGGTACCTATGAGCTCTTATTTTAATGTACCAATGTATAGGTTACCCACTATCAAAAATATATAGCCAGTCAGTGTCTGCACTCTGATGTACTACAGTGTGAATACCCACCAAACTACCTCTTCATCCTAATCCTCTAATAAAAAAACTATCTACCTTGTCCATTCCAGGTACTCCACCTAGATGGCTTAAGCGAAGATGGTGTCGAGAGCTATTCTGTCTAAAAATTAAAATTAGCTTAACTTAAAACTTAAGAACACAAAATAGTATCACCAATGGATGGTTTCTTCCCTCAAAAAATTCATACTCAAATACCCTATGCACATTTGCTTATTGTTCTAGTTAAGAACAGATTGTAAATTTCATGTAAAAAAAAAAAAAAAAAGGTGGGCAAGTGGGTGTCGCTCTGCTGTACAGTAGGTTACAAGTGGGTCACTGTATAATGGATGATATTAAATTTGAATTCAACGATATAAATCATTGTATAAGAAAAACGATTCTGAGCGGAGACGGTATGTCAGTCTAGGTTTAAGACATATTATATACTTATCTATATGGTATTAAAAAAAAATGACCTATAATGAATTCCAAATTAATCATATCACAATATCCATTAGGTACTTATGACGCGTTATACACCAACAACAAACCCTGATACTATCATAGATATATAGTAGTATAGGTACTTTAGAAGTTTCAAGTACCCACGAATAATATCATACAATCATAACAAAATAACTAAAATAGTTATTCTAGGGTTTTTTTTATGAAATTTCGTCCAAATTTGAAGTTAAAATGACTATAAAAATAAACTGTGCTTATTTATTTTATAGATTTTTTGGTAACAGAATTAACTACTTACGTGGAATCTTTTTATAAATTTTCAATCCTTAGATATAAAAGTTGAACATTTTATACATTTTTAACTACAAAATAATTATTCAATTTTAAATTTGATAAATTTTGTCAAAATTCGATCTTTAAATGCTTATAAATTAAAATTAAAACAGTTCAAAATAAAGCAAAATATTTTGAAAATGTTATCGTGTATATAAAATGCAAAATAAAAACAACCAGTGAAAATTTCATGTATATACGTTCATTTCTCTTAGAGTTACACCAAAAACCAAAACCGATTTTACGTAAGAATTCCCGTTTTTCCTTAATTTTTATGTTGTTTTTCTCGGGCGCTTGTGAAAACTACTGGAAAATTTTTACTTTTGACCCCCCCCAAAGTACCAACTAGATTCACTTTCCTATCAGAAAAGCTACTGTTGAAGAAAATCCAAGCACTTTTACTGTTCTAAAACGTGATGACAGACACAAAAATAAAAATAATAATTAAAAAAAAAAACACACATCATTCTAAAATCAATACATTCATCGTTTCACTCAGAATCTAAAACAGTGTGAATAGTTCACTTATAAACATAACATAGAGTGTTTTGTTTATAATTTCATGAATAATGTTATTACCAATTATTGTATTTTCATTGCCTTATTAAAATAATGTACAGGTAAATATTGCCACAAAATAGTTGTTACCAATTTCGCACTTTAAAATGTTTGTATGTTATTGTACATTATTGATAATTATTTACAAATTTCTAAGCACGATATTTTAATACGTTATATTATTGTATTACTTCGTATTTACTTGTACCTAAATGACGAATTGAAACGGGTCGACGGTAGTTATCAAATATCAACCATTTGATCTTCCTTATCTAGGTACTTAAACATTTCTTATTAATGTAATATAATTTGTAATATTTTAATATTAAAATCCAGCAATTAATAAATTAAAACCATTAAATTTATCTGAATTAACATTGATGCATTCATGTATAAATAAATTACACAATATTATATACTGAATTTGTTTTGGAAATGGATATATAAATTAACTTTATAGTAGGTAGGTAGGTAGGTAATGTTTTTTTTCAATCCTACACAATAATAACATAGCTGTAATAAAATAAAAAATGTAAATCTCATTAATTGTATTACTTTTTTATGTAAGTACACTCAATTATTTTTTTATTTAAAATCCGCAATCTGTTCTTTTTTAAAGGTCCATACTAATTTAATGAAATAATGAATATATTTTATATTTTATAGTATATCAATTAAAGTTATATTACAATATTCTAATAATATAATATTGTTGTATAAATTATAAAATAATTTGATATAAATTGTATTTTATATCAAATATTATAATATCATTATATTTTATTTATAATATGTGTACACAGACTGTACAGTACCATTATTGGAGCAATGTGTGACAGCATATTCTTAAAGAATCCAATAGTAGTGATATCTAAAAACAGATTTAAATTGATCAAACACTTATTAGACCCTTAAATAATTAAATCCCTTTATTGTTTTAATAAGGCATACTCTTTTTATTTAAATAAATTATTATTATTATCTATATAATATATAATTATTATGACCAAATTCTTAAAAATGCTGTAAATTGCTGGTTACATAATGGACAGCGTTGCGGGTCTAATAATATTAGGCAATCACCACAGCCAGGGGCGAACCTAGTGGGGGGGTAGGGTGGTCATAATACCCCTCCAATAATTGGTTTCTTAACTTTTGAGTTGGCCATTTTACATTTATGAAAAACTCAATAACTGTACATAATGGCCAACTAATAATTTGTATACGATTGACGATTGTGATTTGTGATAGTGATATTGACTAGAATCAAGGTTATTAGAATAATATAGTGAATATACTAATATTATTATACTGTCTGAACTACAAAAATATCTATTGTCTATTATCGGAAAAATAAGCAGTAAATACTAAATTGTTATCAGTGCGTCAGTAATAATAAGAGGAATATGCAATGGTGAGGGAGTTTGAAAATCCAGATACTGTAAATAGCCAACTGAACGTGCGTGGTTGACATGATGTTTTCAGTCTATGGAATCTAATTTGTTATAAATGTATGCATCAGTACTGCAGGCTTGCGATACCTACCACTATTATTTACAATAATTATTATACCTACGTCACGTTATGTTTATCTGTAATATTATGTAGATTTGACATACATGAATATAATAATACTTGTCCAGTTATACCTACTGTCTTTACTTATATTTTATAATATTTTAATATTCCATAGAATATTTAATTATTTATATCGTCTAATTTGTTGTGCGTGTTTTTTATTTGTCCTAGTAGTTTTTACAAGCGCCGGGAAAAACAACATAAAAATTAAGGAAAAACGGGAATTTTTACGCAAAATTGGTTTTCCAAAAAATCGATTTTGGTTATTGGTGTAACTCTAAAACAAATGAACGTATATACATTAAATTTTCACTGGTTGTTTATATTTGCATTTTCTATACACGATAACATTTTCAAAATATTTTGATTTATTTTGAACTGTTTAGGGACATTTTCATTTTCCATTTTTTTTTAGTTTTTTTTTCTAAAAATATCAATAAAATTTTATTTGTTGGTTGCGAAAGCTTGAAAATTTAATAGAAATCTCCTAATATGTTGTTTCAAAGGCAGATGAAAAATATTAAAAATCCTTAGTCACAATTTTTTTTTATAAGCATTTAAAGTTCAAAAATTCACAAAATATATAATATTATAATATAATTTTTTTTTTAACATTATTTATTATTTTATTGCAAATGTGGTACTTACCTAATGGAATAATTGTAATGGATATCTTTATATATTATAAACAATTTTCATAATCTATTCGTATAATAGCTTGAATTTTTAATTTACTGAAATAATTAAAACATTTTAACTGTTTAACGATGAAATAGCTACGACAAAATAACAAAAACAAGTTGTCCCGGATCAATTTTTAGAGTTGGCCAAACTACTAACTTTGGCCCCCCAATAAAAACCTCCTCGGTACGTCCCTGACCACAGCTATATGTCCACATGGTACGAACGTATGCGTTTTCTCTGAAATAGAGCAAACTACACACATTCGATCAGAGTTGGTAATTGGAGGAAGAACAGACAGAACCTGAACAAATGGTAAATTTTCTATTTTCAACATTCTTATTCTATGGTCAGTTT